ATGTATGTATATATGTATATATGTATACATATATATATATAAACAATTAATTATTACCACGAGAGCTCTTTAATGGCGGAATCATCTTCTCTCTGCCAATGGTGGAGGCGACTCTCGGATCCATCGTCTCCTTGCAAGATGCCGCCATCATCGTCATTGATGCCCTCTCGGCTGCCGCCACCGCTACTCTCGTTGACCGCCAGCTTAAAGCTCATGGCGGCGGCCAAAAATGACGGCCCTCCGCCGGTGGTGCCGCCGGAAATGATACGTGTGGGCGACGCGGAGGTCTCGGGAGCCGAATCCTGATCCAGGCCAAGGTGGTGATGCGGGATCAGCCTCCTCGGCTCCAGGTACTGCTGCTGGGGGTGGAAGAGCTGGAACTGGGTGGGCTGCTGGGTGATGGGGATGGAGTGGAAATGGGACAAGTGGGGCGGCAGCGCCGGCGGCTGCGGCTGGTGGTGGGCGTGTGGGTGATGAGGGTGGGGGAGCGGGTAGTACTTGAGAGGGTGCGGAGCTGAAGAGTGGATGTCGGTGGGGGCGGCAGCGGCTGCCGCTGCGGCGGGATTTGCTGAGGAGATGGTGAAGAGCGACGGGCCGCAGCTTTCCACCATGAATTGTTGGATCTCCGACACTCCTCCATATCCCGACTGCATCTTCTCCCCTCCTCTCTCTCTCTCTCTCTCTCTCTTATCTTTCTCGCTCCTCCTTGACTCTATTTGCTCGTTCGTCTCACCTGCGGGTCAACAGGGAAACGCTTCGCCTTTTCTTCTGTATACGACTTTTAGATCTGCCCTCCCATCTGCTCCAGCTTGAAGACCAGCCACTGGGACTGGTCTTCCAGATTCGGAGCTGCACCACTGCCCATGTGTACTCTGCAATCTCTCCTTTTTCTCCCTTTTGTGTGGGGAGGGCGACAGCAACACTCGGAAAGCAGTCGAGCTTCCTTGATGGACAAGCCAGAGCAACACAAAAGCCACCGGCGAGGAATCCCCTCGCTCTCGCTCTCTCGCGTGGTATAGTGTGGCGGTGAAGACAGAGAGGGGGAGGGGTTAAAGAAGGGCGCAGCAGAGGGTGACGTCAGGATGCGGCAAAGGATGAGCACGTGTGGGAGGGCAGAACCGTGAACTGAGAGGGCTGGTTGAAGCTCGACGCACGCGTGTAGGTACGTGCGAAGACCATGGCAGTGGGTTTTGTCACGTACGCACTTGGATTTGGGTGCGTGCGTGCGTGCGTGTGAGAGAGAGAGAGAGAGAGAGAGAGAGAGAGGGGGGGGAGCGGAATGGGTCACGGGAAAGTGGTGGGATGCGGTTCGTGTCGGGTTGGTGTGTCGGCACGAAGGGAGAGTGTAAGAGAGGGCGACGCAACGACGGCTGCTTGCTGTCTACGTGAGTCGGTGTCATGATGGGAGTCTAGTATCCTTCGCAGGTGCTTCTTCTTGGTTTCCCGGGTCGATTCAGCAGGGGAGCGACGAGGGACGACACGAATCCAACGCGAAGCTGCGCTACGTCGATCAGATCGGATTCCATTGGATCGAGGAGAGGAGAAATGTTGGATCATATCATCGAGATAAAGATCACGACATCAAGAGTCGTCCATCTCGTAAATAAAGGACTGAAATCACCCACGTGTCTTCTCTTGAATAAGTAGTGAAACAAAGGATATAGAAAACAAAATAACAATAAAAAATAAAATAACTTCGAAAAAATTAACAATACCGTAAATTATTTGAATAAATCCAAACCAGAAGTATTAAAAATATGTCCGATAATTTTCCTTCCATACTTAATAAAAAATATATATGAGTGTTAAAGAGTATATATTATATTATTCCTCATTGTTGTCTCCTTTGCTCTATGTTGTATTCCATATTTATAAATATATATCTTTAATTTAAAAGATTAATATAACTTAAACACCTTCAATAATTTTAATTTAATTTATATGTATTATTACTATTTTCGAGCATATTAAAAGATCAACATATTTTATGATTCATAAAAGAGTACAGCTAAAACAAAAAGATGTTCATACATAAACTGGAACCTAATAAATAATATACTAAGCTCTCGCTTGTGTTTGCACACTTGTTTCCTAACCTAATCTTCTCTCTCTCTCTCTCTCTCTCTCTCTCTCTTTTGTTCACATAGAGATCACAGGATCCATCACATGAGTTCACCCTACATTTCTTTCGACATCTTTTCCTCACTCCATATCACAAAGCTTTCATTGTCCAGTCGACGTCCAAGTCATCCTAATGCAATAGAAAAGACCAAATTCCCAAGCGGCTACCCTTCACACCCATCCAACTCATCAGCCTAAGCAACATATATGATTGATGTGATATATTTCGAGTCTCTTCAAGAAAGGAGCAACCAAGAGGAGTCACAAAATATGTGGATAAGCATATGGCATGATTCATGATTGACATAGTAGATCAGTGTTATAAAAAATCGAATTACGAGGAAAAAAAAAAGAAAAAAGAGTGGAGTAGATGCTTGGGGAATAGAAATATGATGGTGAAAGGGAGGAGGGGTCACGTGTCAGCAAAAACATGCAAGCCACGAGGAAGCAGCTCAACGCGATGATTTTGTCGATTCATATAATAGTTTAATTATATATTTAAGAAAGTGATGGATGAGAAAATGATATGATATGAAACATAATGAAAAATTAATAATAATAATAATAATTCATGACCTTTTTGATGGCCGAAACATCAACCGGCTGAATGAGATGACACTCAAAAAGGACTAAAATTAATTAGGTTGATGTTACTCGAGGAGGAACGAAATGGGGTAAACCTCAAAGGAAAATAGAGTTGGATGTGGTCGATATCGAGGGAAAAGAAGCCGAATGTGATGTTTAAGAGTATAAGCATTTAATATGGATGGGGTTAAATTTTGATTGTCCACATTGTAGGTTGAAATAATACCATTGATGTGTTAATGCAGAAAGCCAGTTTGTCGGAAAAACATGAAAAGAAGTCTTAGAAAATAATACAAGGTGTCAGATTTTTTTTTTTTTTTTTTTTTTTTATGATGCTCCTCTAAAGTTCAAGTAAAAAATAATATATAAAGGAGATTAGAGTTTCATATGTAGTAGAAATAGAGAGGTTAAAAAAAGAAGAACATAGTGAGGAGAAGGAACAAAATCATATGTGATAACTTTTTTTTTTTTTAATGTTTGATGATGTGACCTACTAAATTATAAGTAGGGAAGATTTCAGGACGTCTAATACAAAAAGTTGATGAGATTTTTTTTTTCTTCAAAAAAATAGAAACACTCATTTAGGTATGACTTATAATATAAATATTGACATAAAAGCTCAAATAATTATTTATTATTTTAGGTTATGATTTGACATTTATATTCAATAAGATACATATGAAAGATACCTTACAAGTTTCTTACAAAATTGTAAAGAGTTTACGGTTAGAATCCCTTTATTTTTTAAATTTTTAAATAATATTTTATTAAATTTGTTTAATTCAATAAAAATCGGATAAGGGTTTACTTAATATTTATTTATTATTAAGAATCTGACTCCTAGTGGACTCTAGATAGAACTCTATAAATATAGATGTATCGGTTTCTTTTCACTAATCAATGAAATATTATTCTATCTTTTGATAAACTCTAGGAGGTTAATCCCCTTGAAATGATCAAGGAGGTCGATCCCCTCAAAGTGATCATCCCCTTTTCTCCTTTTTCTTCTATGATAATACCAGAGGGTCTTATCATTTAATATCAGAGCATCGATCCTCGATGTTCTTGTTGTAATTTCTCATAACACTTCACCCACTATCATAAAAAAAGAGAGAGAGAGAGAGAGAGAGAAAAGAAGAAGAAGAAGAAGCTACGGTCCTCAAGAACCTTTGTTTCCTAACTGTGATCCTCAGCATCTCTACAGCCACCTTAGTTATGCCTCCATTGAAGATGACACTACCAGCATCTCCTTCCAGCAATGCGCCTCCCAGCCCTCAATAGCCGCCGTGCATCCCAACCGAGAGCAGCGTGAGGGAAGCGCGCCCCATCCCACTTGAGCGAGAAAGGGTCGCACCGCTATTCCAGGCCAACGGGCCACCCCCCCTCATCACGCCTAACCTCGACAACCCTTTGCTGCTCGTCGCCCTTAACGACACTGCTCCCAACTGCATTGCCACTGCTACCTCTCAACCCCGATAACAACCTTCCCTCCTTGTAGCGACCAAAATAGGGCAAAACCCCCCTATCACCTCACACCTTCTGCATAAATCATCAATCATCGCTGCTTCCTTCTCCCCTCGATATTGGCATCGACAATAGCCACCATAGCCTCAACCCTCGATCACTCGTGATCCCTTGGCATCGCAGCATTTCATCTCTCGGGTGCGATAGATGTTAGGATCAAGAGCACTAAGAGGGGGGGGGGGTGAATTAGTGCAGCGGAAATCTTTCGACGATAAAAACGTTCGAACGATAAAAACGATTTCGGTGTGAAAGCCGATTCTAAGATTACTTTAACTTAAGATCAAGCGAGATGACGTTAAAGTCAATCTATGAAGGCAGTTTGTAGTTATGATGAAAACCAGCATACGAGCGCAAACTGAAATATGACGTTCGTACGAAGAAACTGATTTACGTCTAAATGCTGATTCGTAAATCACTTGATTAGGCGAGATGCAGCTTAAGCAAGGATATTAAGGCAGTTTGCAGTTAAGATAGAAATCAAAACGTAAATGCAAACTGAAATATGATGATCGTACGAAAAAACAGATTTACGTCTAAACGTTGATTCAGAAAGTGCAAAGCTAAAACCCGATCGTATATGCGCAGAAAGTAGTAAGCTTTAGAGGAGGTTTACAGTAAAGATAAAATGCTCAAAGTAAATGCAAACCGAGATTTAGAGTGGTTTGGTCAATCTTGACATACTCCACTTTTGGCTTCCTCCACCGACGAGGTCACCGACGTCAACTAGAGGCCTTCCTTCAATAGGTGAAGGCCAACCACCCTTTTACAGTTTCACTCCTTTTGACGGGCTTAGGAGACAACCCTTACAGAATTTTCTCTCCTCTCCTCTCTTTACAGCTCAGAACTTGGAAGAAAAGAGGGAGAAGGACATTTGGCTTTTACAACAATTTTGAGCTCTAAAAATCACAGAACAAGATCAAGATTTCGGAGTGTATTCTGTATCCTTTCAGTGCTAAATGGGTGGGGTATTTATAGGCCCCAACCCAGTTCAAATTTGGAGCTCAAAACTGTCAATTCCCGGAATTTCGGGATCAGGCGGTTGCACCACCTGACTAGAGCGGTTGCACCGCCTGGCAGAGCTCGAAGACTGAGCCTCTAGGCGGTGCCACCTCCTGTCAGGGGCGGTTGCACCTCCTGCCAGAGCTCGTAGACCGAGCTCAGGCGGTGCAACCTCCTGACTGAGGCGGTTGCACCGCTCAGCCAATGCTCGGAGACCGAGCCCAAGCGGTGCCACCTCCTGTCAGGGGAGGTTGCACCGCCCAGTCTCGCTCGGAGACTGAGCCCAGGCGATGCCACCGCCTGGCTGGAGCAGTTGCACCTCCCAGTCTCGCTCGGAGACTGAGCCCAGGCGGTGCAACCTCCTGCCTTGGGCGGTTCAACCGCTTGGCAGAAATCAGGGTCCGAATGGGTTGATCCATTCGGTCCAATTTGGATTTTTCAGGGGCCCAATTGCCCCAAGATTAAGTTAATGAGATCACCTTCCATTTCCAACTTAATCATTGTGCTAACTACGACATTCCCTAAGACATTTACTGCAACTTGCTCCGGTGCGTCAATCGCTTCTTTCGGCGAGCTTCCGGCGAACTTCCGTCGATCATCCGATGAACCCTCGGTGATGCTCCTGCGGACTTCCGGCAAACTCCTGGACTTGCGACGATCCACTTGGCGAGTTCCAATGAGCTTCTTTGGCAAGCTCATGGACTTCTCGGATTTGTTCCTGCAGAACCTTCGACGACTGTCCGAACTTCCGTCGAACTCTCGAACTCCCAACGTGATCATTGTCTTGA